GTGGATTAGATGGGTCCTAAGGTTTAATGATACTTAATGTTGTGAGAGCCAAAGGCTATAGAAATACTGAGGCATAATGTAGTAAAACACAGATAAATAGATAAACAAACAAACCAATAACCAAACACAGGACTGTACCGAGAAGCCCCTCACAGCAGCTTCCCAAAGCCACAGCCATGGAAGCGCCACTCACGCGCCCTCCTGCTTTAGCGTGGAATAGATTAACCCGGATGTTTCCCACACACCACGAAACACTGGTGGCTGCCCTGATCTCATGTTAGGATAAAGGTATGTGCTCGCATGTGCCCACGTGAACTAGCGAGTGGTCTCATGAGAAGCACCACAAAGTGGCAGAAAGCCACACAGCAGGATGGATGACCTTGGCTTTGACTTTACTGATGCTGGCCTGGCCAGGTCACTGATTCCCTGGCCTTGACTCTTTCTCTGTAAAGTGTGCATCAGGGAGAGGCAACGACTGTCCTTACACAGCTGGGGCACAAGTTCTGCTTCCTCACCAAGCTAATTCCTCTGAAATCCCTCATGCTGTTGGAGGGCTCTGATGAAACACAGACATGCAATTTCCACACACAGGGCAGCTCCTCGGGCCATGCTGGACAGTCTGCTTGGGCTGTGTCCTTCCACTGAAATGAGGCCAATGAACAAAGTTCTTGAAGATGGGAACAACAGGGAGTTAGCACCCGCCAGGAGGGCAGTGAGGATCAGAGCCTCAACGGGGATGAGCACAGTCTTGACAGGGATGGGCACAGCCTCGACAGGGATGGGCACAGCCTCAACGGGGACGGGCACAGCCTCGACAGGAATGGGCACAGCCTCGACGGGGACGGGCACAGCCTCAGCCTCGACGGGGACGGGCACAGCCTCGACGGGGACGGGCACAGCCTCGACGGGGACGGGCACAGCCTCGACGGGGATGGGCACAGCCTCGACAGGGATGGGCACGGCCTCTTCTGTATCTACTAGAGACCCTTCTCTCTTTCACTCAGCCATGGATAAACCCCACTGTGCAATGACAGCCTCCTGCTGAGGAAGGGTCTGACCTGTAGAAATGGCTAGAACGTGAGTGATGTAATTTGTGTTGGCTTCCCCTGCTCCTAGGAGTTACCCTCGTGGCTGCCTCTCACACTGGTACTTGTCCTCGGTGTGAGAGAAGAACACTGGAGCATGGAGAGGCAGTGTCTGGCTGATTTAATGCACAGGACTGGGTGTAGATGCAGGGATGGAACTAAAGGATAGTTTTGTTTTCATTACTGTGCTTCAATCATGTTTAGAGGCTGTCACCACACTATAACTTGTCAATGCTGTGAGTTGAATCTGTCAAACTCACACGCTAGTCTTTGGTCTCAAAAGGGCTTTCCTTCCAAGCTCTGTGTCAATGTGACATGTATCTAGTTAAGAGATTGCATCTGAAGAAATCCAGGCAGGTGAACAGACACATCAGAATTGTTTGGATATATATCAACCAAGGGTCTTTTTGACTGGTTAAGATTTGCTTCTCTAAAAGCAATGAGGTCCAATTTTGGCAGGTGGCACAATCCTGGGAGCTGAAAAGTTGGGAACTAACCGTTGGATTATAAAATGCTGAATTTTCATGAACGACTCTTACAGGAGTATTGTGTATCACCAGAGCAGTGGGTGTAGCAGCAGAGGGGCTCATGCAGGGCTTTCTAAGATGCTAGCGCCTCTTCATCTTCTACAGAGTCACCCGGTGGACCATGTGAGGTGCCAACGTGACATCTGCAGGCTGTGGCGGGTGCCCAGGATGCTGGGGAAGGGGCTTTGCACTGAGAGGAAGCCCAACTGTGTGCGTTTTTTAGTTCTTGAGGCTTTGTGACCTCTAGCCGCTATGGGGAGATGTTGGGGTGCACGTGTCTTCACACACTCACTATCCAGTCACTTTCTTTTCCCTGTAGGGGGAAGGATCTGTTAGCTTTGTGGAAGTGAGATTCCAGGCAGAGGATAGGCCTGGAGTGAGCTTCCTTCTCACACGGGACTCCACAACAGGCACAATGAGGCCCACCAGGACACAACAGTTATGGTCAGTGTGGAGCAGACATGGTACACCTACAGTGCCCTACCACGGCACAGACCATGGGGAAGGTGGCTTCTGGTGGGCAGAGTCATAGCAATGTTTGGACCTTAAATGATCTCCAAGCATTTTTAAAATTTGAAAATTTACCCATTTCAGTCTTTTTAAAACTTTAATTAAAAACTTCTTCTGCTGTGTGTGGTATTGCATACTCATGCAGAGTCCAGAGACTGATGTATGGTGTCTGTCCTTGATTGCTGTTCATCTGATTGCTTTGCGACCAGGTCTGTCAGTGAACCTGAGGCTCAATGATTAACCGTCTACACTGGCTGGTCAACAAGCTTTGGGGATCTGTTTTGCCCCCACTCCTTCCGAGGCTATAGTTATATGCCTACGCTACTGTGTATGGCTTCTAACGTGGGTTCTTCAAGCTTGCATGGCAGGCACCTCTCTGAAACATCTCCCTACCTAAAAATGGCATTTTGAAAGCAAACAATTGATTTATTCCATAGATTGATACAAAAGTAACACTAATAGTGGATGGGATTTCTCTTTGTATGCTGTGAATACCATTGGTTAATAAAGAAGCTGCTTTGGGCCTATTTCACTGCAGAGTAGTGCAAGGCTGTAGATCCAAGCAGACAGAGGAGGAGAGAGTGGGCGGAGTCAGGGGGATACCATGTAGCTGTCACAGAAACAGACTCACTGGAGCTTTGCTGGTAAACCACGAGGCTAGTGCTAAAATATAAAATAAAGGAAATGTGTTAATTTAAGATATAAAAGCTAGCTAGAAAGATACCTAAGATATTGGTCAGGCAGTGATTTAATTAATACAGTTTCTGTGTGGTTATTTTGGGCCAGGGAAGCTGGGAAACAAACGAGCAGCCTCTGCCAACATAATGCCATGCAAAATAAACTCAACTCCAGGTGCCAGAAAGAAGTAAAGTAGAGCGTGACACCTTCCCACTTGGTGGCTGGAAGTCACAAGGCCACTGAGGGTGCCACCAAGTCTCCTGAATGCACCTCTGTGCACCTCTGGAATATCCCATCCTAGAACAATGCAGGGAACATTTTTCTTTTTTTTCTTTTTTTTTAAACTTTATTTAACTTCATTTCATGCACACTGGTATAACGATGTCAGATTCTCTTGAACTGGAGCTACAGACAGCTGTGAGCTGCCATGTGGGTGCTGGGAATTGAACCCGGGTCCTCTGGAGGAGCAGTCAGTGCTCTTAACCACTGAGCCATCTCTCCAGCCCCATCCCCCCAACCCCGGGAACGTTTTTCATTTAGACAATAAACTAAAGTAAGTGACCCGGCTTTGTATCTGCATCCTTTTCTCCTGAAAGCATGGGTTGGAAGAGGAGCTTGTCTAGAGATTGTCCCTCTCAGTATCCGAGGAACAGTTTGTGTCCTGAGTCTTCAAGATCCGCAGCTAAAGGAATGCTGTAACCATCAACAGCCACAGGTGCAAAGACCGTGGGCCAAAAGTCAGTATTCAGGGTGGGGATGTCCACACGCTTACTGCCACCTAGTATCTACTGATCATGGCTGCTTTGGAGAAACTTTTATTATTCATGTAGCATGAATAATAAAAACCCAGAGCCAGATATTGGGGTTCAACCTGAAAACCAGAAAAACCAAAGCAGCCAAGCCACTAGAGAAGTTTTATCTCTACCAATGCTGGGTGATCCCAGACCAAGCATTCTAAGCCTCTCTCTCCTCTCATTTGATATTCCCTCTAGTGCTGTGATTAAAGGTGTAGGCCTCTTGGATTTGTTTCTGCATCGATCTTAGCCCAGGGTGATCCTGAATTTACGAAGATCCATTTGCCCCTGTCTCCCAAATCCTGGGATTAAAGGTGTGTGCCACCACTGTCTGACCTCTAGGTCAGGACTTACGTTTGCCCTTCTGATCTTTAAGCAAAATTTACTAAAACATAAATAAAATATCACTATATTAGCAAGCAAATCACTCTTAGTATCTCGTCCTTTTAACCCAGCTGTTGCTTTGTGTATGTGGGGAAAGTAAGAAAAGTGGTAAGAAGGCTGGGAGGTAGCTGAGTTGGTAGCGTGCTTGCCTGGTATACATGAAGCTGTGTCCAAGCCCCGGTTCTGAATACACAGGCCAAAGTGATATGTGTCTGTCATTCTAGCACTTGGAAGTTGGAGGCATGAAGATTAGGAGTTCAAGGCTTGTCTCACCTATGTAGTGAGGTTGAGGCCCGCTGGGAATACATGAGACCCTGTCTCAAAAGAAGAACTGATAAGAAGCAAAATGACAATACTGGCTCTATTTGGTTGGCCCTCTTGCCTTTGAGATGAGTTTTCCTGGGTCCCCACGCATCTTTGAACAACAAGAAGCCCAAACAGTCCAAGTAATTGCATGGAATCAGCCAAGAAACTGGTACTTCCTTCATAGTTGGAAAACCAAAGTGGCAACATTTGAGGATGGCTAGGCATACAGCCATGCTTTCTGGTATGTTATAGACTGCTCCCTGGAACTGTCAACCAGGTGTTTACAATACTGGGCTCCTAAGATATGCCTCTGTCTTGTAAAATGTTGCCCCTGACACGTGATTTCATGCAGATGAAAAGCTTCCAGTGGTGCTGGAGAGCCAGCTCCATGGTTAAATGTACTGACTACCCTTCCAGAGGACCTGGGCTGGATTCTCAGCACCTTCATGGCAGCTCACAACTATCTGTGAGTCCAGTTCCCAGGGACTAGATGCCCTGTAATGATTTCTGAAGGCACCAGGCATGCATGTGGTGCACAGACATTCACAGAGGCAAAACATCTATAATCATGAAAAGAGACAGACAGACAGACAGGCAGAAAGGAAGGAAGGAAAAGAGAGAGAGAGAAAGAAAGAAAGAAAGAAAGAGGGAAAGAAAGAAAAGAAGAAAGACTTCCAGTAGGTTAGCTCCCAATGATTGATCCTGAGGCCGGCTATCAGGTATGCATGGTTTTATTTAAAATGTGTCCAATAGGATTTTCCACTTGGAATGAACATTTTACCTCTTTCTGCATGTTCTCATAAACATCATCTCCTCATTTCATGGAGTTTCTTAGGAATTTCTAGGTAATTTAACAGAAGAGCAAATGAAAGTGTGGGGAGATTAAATCACAGGAGGTTCACACCGCGGTGAGGGTGCTCCTGCCTCAACCTCGGGGACGCACAAGTGACGAGCGGGTGAAGTAACAGACCGGGTCATGCAAGTCCTCCTCGAGTCACTTGGTGTCCTTTGGCAGTTCTGGTGTCTCCTGTCACTAGCACGGAAGACAAAATGAGTCCGATGACCTCAGCAAATGGGCAATTGTCTTGTGGTGGCTGAGAGATGGATGCAGACGCCCTGTCGTCGAGCATTCCCTAAAGTCAGAAGAGAATGTTCCCTCTGGCCCATCTGCTGCGCTGAGCCCCAGGGGGGGTGCATGCACCTTATGTCCTGAACCTCCCTGGTGGCCGCAGCACCCCCTGCCTCTCATCAAATGGCACTGGTTTATCTGTGAACAGCAGCACAGCACAAGATAAGCATGGGAGCACATTTTAATCGAGAGGGCAGTTGTAGTTTTAAGTCAGCGCTAGAGCCTGGCAATGTTAGATTTGTGTTTTCATGAGCCAAAGGTCATAGCATGAATGAGGTCTAAATATCATCACAGCAGACCACAGGCCACAGAAAGAAAGATATGTCTTCAAGTTATGTCGACCTGCCAGGAAGAGAAACAGATACAGAGTACAGCGAACAGGGGCCAGCGGGCCCGGTGGTGGTGTGTGGTGCTCCTGACTTGGGAACAGAGCCTTGTACATGGAAATGAAGTGGGCGGGGCTTTGAGATTCCCGCCGGCTGCTCAGAGCTGCTGTCCTGGAAAGAAGCTAAGGGCAATGCGACAGGTGGGTAGGGGGGTGGGGGTTGGGGCTGGGAAACATCACCATCTCGACCTTTGTTCTAAAGTGACTTAGAGACGGTCCTTTATTATGGAAACACAATCCCGAACAGTTTGCTCTTTCTCTCCGTAAACACATCAGTTCATAAATAACTTAAGCGTGTCCTCTGCATTCAGGACACAGTTCTGGCTGGAGTAGAAAAGGGTAGAAGACGCGCAGCGGTGGGAGAAGATGGCAGGATGGAGTGTGGACGGGCGGCTCAAGCGTCTAGGGTGCGTGCAGGCATCAGCCATCAGACACGGGAGGGGTGACCCAGCCGTATTTCTCATGAGTCTTCACCAAACTCTTGAAGGTTGCTTCGGCTTCCTTGCGGCTGAAGGACTTTTTTGACTTGCCAGCTTTCCTGCAGATCCGTCCCTGCGTGAGATGGAAAGAGACACCAGGTTAGAGGCTCAGCCGAGGACCGGCTCCTCATAGGGTTGTTAAAGGGTCATACGGAGGTGGGCGTCGTTCTGATGTCTGAATCTAGGAGATGTGTTGGCCACCAGCAAGGATGATGGGACACTCTCGCGGAGTAGATATGGAGGGATACAGCTTCGATAAAGAGCACACTGGGGAGCCACGTACTGTAAACATTTTGGGGTGCAGGCACTTTTCCCAAACCACAGCCTCAGCTTTATCCAAACTGGTTCAATCTGTGAGCCTGGAAGGCAGCTTCCCTGCATTCCTGAGACACAGCTGAAGGATCCCTTAGGAGAGGAGCCTTCTCGCCCGAATGCTTCAAGTCTAATTTCTGGGTTGTCTTTGATAGGCATGGAAATAAATACATTTATACATAGATGTGTATATTATGTGTTCATATTATGTGTGCAACTAAGGACTGAATTTTAAAATCCAAGCTTGGGAGCCATTACGGCACTCCCGGCAGTTCATACAGCTTGGGAGGCAGGTAGGGGTCAGAGGTCAGAACTATGCATGTGTTGAAGCTGAAGACCGGGTCGTGCAGTGGACCAGAGGATTTGGGTGGCTGAGAAGACTCTGAGGAGAATTTGGGCGTGTTCAACTGTTTGGTATGTGACAACATGTTCTCATCTACAGAGTTCATTTTTGAAAACCACATAACTGACTAACAAAAAGAATGCAAAAAAATTCATGTTTTTTAAAAGTCTTCATTTTTTTTTTTAAAAAAAAAAAGATTTATTTATGATGTATATGGAGTTCTACCTGTATGTCTGCCTGCAGGCCAGAAGAGGGCACCAGATATCACTATGGATGATTGTGAGCCACCATGTGGTTGCGAGGAATTGAACTCAGGACCTGTTGAAGAACAGTCAGTGCTCTTAACCGCTGAGCCTCCTCTCCAGCCCCCAAATCCCATCATGTTTTCAGTAAGTTTATACTTTGGTGTTGGGCCAAATTCATAGCTGCCCTCAGCCACATGCAGCCCGAAGGCAGGGAGTGGACATGCCTGCTAGACCTTCAGAGGCGAGAAAAGAGGTGTCACAATGGAAACAGACTATAAGTGAGAGCCTGTGGCTCGTCACCAGAAGGTGGGATGGCAGTGGGCCCTTACTGGATAGCTTGCTGTGGCTCTTAGTCACCTAGCCTTGTAAGTGCCTGCTCACCTGAATTGGCCCCTTTGGCGTTGTGGATTTACTTACTCCTAACTAGGGTCATTCTTTCCTGGAGTTTAGCTCTCTTTGAGTAATCCTGTACAACCATGTACAACTCTGTACAACCACGTACAACCATGTACAACCGTGTACAACCACGTACAACCACGTACATGCCATACACAGATGGGGCCCAGACACCCAGAGACACAGCTGCCTTCAATCAGCCAGCAAGCGCCTGCATCTGGTCGCCCACTGCTTCTTGGTTACTGAGCAGGTTCTCTGCATTCTGGTACGCTTCACACAGATGTCACAGCACAACTGTGTGTATATACTGGACCTTAAACTGGAGTCAGGTCTTCAGGGTCCACCACCACCCACACACTGAGGGGGGGATCTACCCAGGCTATGGGACCGGAGGCTGCAAACTTGCTGCAACCCTAGCTCTCTCCGATAAACCAAGTGAGAGATGCTGGACTGGCTCCTGAATCCTTGGCTGGTGATGCTGGATCCCAGTAACCTGATTATGGAAGAGCAGCTCACAGGTGTGAACTTAGAACTCACACTTCCAGTCCACGGGGGCCTTCTTATCCACAAGGCAGAAACCCAGGGAGGGTTGCTCTGCACGTCCAGTGGCCCTCTGCCTTACTGCTACCTCCCTGCTCTCCAGGACACTTGACATTCTTTATAGAGGCTCCCAGTCAGAACAAGCGAGCTTTCAAAGGGAGAAAGAGGACCTGAGGGGAGGGGAGGCAGCAGCTCCTGATGGCTGTAATGATGTCCCCAAGTCTCGCCAGGGCATGAGCCCCATCTTTAATTATTTACTTCCATACCTTATGAAGGGTGGGGTTATACCTTATAACAAGGGACCACCAAGATTTAGAACTTGCACAGCCGTTGCTGAGGTCAAAGCCCAAAGCTTTGGCATCAGAAGTAGAGAAGTGTAGGGATGTTGGTTTACACATCCACGAGAGCAGACAGTTTTAGATAATGTGAGTGTTTTATTCCTTTGTACCGTACTGATGACTGCTGGTGTGGCTGAGAATTCGGAATTAAGGGAGCCAGACAAACAGGCTCGCAACGACTCTGGAATATTCAGTGGCTTTGTCAGGAACATAAGCTTCGCCTATTCTTTGTCCAAGTCCCTACTGTTACGAGATTCAACCAACAAACCCTTACTGGGACAAGTGGCCCTTTGTTGATTTTTTTTTTCCTTCCCGGGAGGATCATGAACATAGAGTCCAGTGCGAAGTCAATTTGATGGCAGGAGAGAGGCCGCCAAGAGCCAGCAGCTCAGTGCCTTCTCCCCACTGAGCTAGCCAGCGAGAGGCCCTCAGCCCTGCAGTGAGCACATACCGCCTGCCGCTTCAGATGGGCCGCTTCGGGCTCACACAGGTCAATGTTAGCTTTTGCAGGAAGTGTTTCTTTCCCCAGTCCTGCCAGGGGGCCGAGTTGTTCTCACTGATGTGTCTGCCCTGCAGTGCCATGAGACAGGGAGAGGACGCCCCTCTCCCACACGTCCTGTGGCCACTGCCGAGCCCATAAGGGAGTTTCTAGATTGCATTGGCTGAGGGGCGAGACTCACAGTGAATGTGGCTGGCAACATTCCATGAGCTGGGGTTCCTGACTAAGAGGAGAAGGCCAGCCAGGCACCCAGCATTTATCTTTCCCTGCTTCTTCATGGAGCTCTGGATGTGGTACTGCCTGACGCTCCTATTGGCCTGATTCCCTGTGGTGATAGGCTGGACCCCAGATCTGTGAGCTCAGATAACCTGCCTTCCCTTACATTACCTTCGTCAGGACTTCAGTAGCAGCAACAAGAAAGTTAACTAAGCACTTGTTCCAGATTCACGGAGACAAGTGAACTGGAAGCACTGAGGATTGTGAAGGAGATACAATTAAGGTCCGGCTGTCTTATTCTCAGAGCATCCATCTTCCCTGTCTGTTTCCATACAGTAACCAGAGTCTAGTCTCAGATACTCCTCTGAATAATTCTCATTTCTCCTCGACTATCCTTACTTGCATTTCACGAGAGAAGACTTGGAGGTAACTCCAAGTTACCTCCTCGATAGGGCGTAGGGTCATTCTCCAGAGTTTACGACAAGATTGCCTCCTCGATAGGGCGTAGGGTCATTCTCCAGAGTTTACGACAACTTTCTTGGTGCCCTTTCCCTCTCTGGAGCTGCAGGTTGTTAAGGGGGGCACCAGGGAAACATAGTGCTTAAGGGTTCAGCCCAACAGAGATGAAAAAGAGGATTAATAAGAACACAGGAGGGCTGGAGAGATGGCTCAGAGGTTAAGAGCACTGACTGCTCTTCCAGAAGTACTGAGTTCAATTCCCAGCAACCACATGGTGGCTCACTGCCATCTATAATGAGATCTGGTGCCCTCTTCTGGCTTGCAAGCATACATGGAAGGAATGTTGTATACATAATAAATAAATAAATCTTAAAAAAAAAAAAGAAATAGGAACACAGGAGCTGGGCCTGCACCTGTGATACAAAACCATCAGGGGGGCCTTCAGTTTGATCTTGCTTGCCAGCGGCTTTAAAAAATATAAGTGTGTGTGTGTGTGTGTGTCTGTGTGTGTGTGTGTGTCTGTGTGTGTGTGAGTGTGTGTATGTGTGTGTAAATGTGTGTGTATGTGAGTATGTGTGTGAGTGTGTGTCTGTGTGTGAGTCTGTGTGTGAGTGTGTGAGTGTGTGTGAGTGTGTGTGTGTGTGTGAGAGAGAGAGTCACATGATTAACCATGAAGGCATCCCCATGTCTTAGCAGCTAACAGGCTAACAGGCAAATCCGAAGACTGGTCCTCTCTGACTCTGCAGTTCCCACTGTATCCACCTACACGCTGACCTTCCGTTGTCAAAGGCACCCTCAGCTGCCTTGTGACTTCATTCATTCCATGTGTTGGGCACTGGCTCAGGAAACACCAGTGATGCCGCCTTTGGGAGCTGTGGGACCGTCATGTGGACACGATGAGGGTGCAAGTGTGTTGTGGCTTTGTTGGCAGTAGTGACTCTCGGCTGGGGTATGTCTGCTTGTAGGTTACCCTGTACAGAGTATGTATATGTGTTGTGTCTGGCCTCATTCTGTTAGGTGCTCCATATGACACTGTACTTATCCAGGCAATATCAAATGTCTTGGAAGAACAGTCACTACCAACTGATACCGGCTTGGGGTCAAGCAAAGGGGCTGGGCCTATCCTTGCCATTCAGCAGATACACGTGGCCCGCCCCTGGAGTGGGAGCAGTGCTGGCTGCTGGGGTGAATCAGATCCTAAATGTCTCCCAGCCCAGCTTTGTCAAAGGAGAGGGAAGGAAAGGTGTGGGGCTGGGGAGACAGCTCAGTGGTTAAGGCTAGGCTCGCAACCGAAAATACCAGAGGAAGGGTGTGATGGGTGGCGCCTGTGTCCTCAGAGTGTTTCTTGGTGGTGCTGGGATCAGCTTTGAAGTGTAGCCCCAAGTAAAAGCTTAAAATAGACTGCTGCACTCTGGGAGCCACGGCCAGATGCTCTGTGGGCTCACACAGGGAATTTTTAGGCTGTGTGGTGCACGCATGCATACGTGTGTGTACTCTTATGCATGCGTACGTGCACCGTGTGGGGGAGGGGCAGAATTCAACTGATTTGCTTTTAAATCCTCATTCCGGCACTCCCTGTGTGTGTGGCTGTGGGCAAGCTGCTGGCTCTCGGTTTCACTGCCGGTAAAAGAAACACGGCCGGGCTTCCGAAAGGATTGGACTTGCACAGCAGTGACCGGGTTGCTACTGCCATAATCATGTCGTCCATGTCCTTTAAGGTGATGC